ATGGTGAAAAGCATAATTAAAATACAGCTAATGAAAGCCAGAGTTTGCTCACTATATATGTAACGTTTTAGGAAAATACACTTAAATATAAGCTGTTAAATGTATAGAGGTCTAATGCAGAGCTGATGTGATGCCAGAGCTAAACCAGTGTCAGCAAAAGGAGTAAGTGGCACAACACTTCTGTAGGATTTATTGCAAATAGCTGCTCTGTGTAAATTACTGTCATGTTTAGTAGCTGTGGCTTTAATTTTATAAAAGTTAGTTTGAAGCAATTCTGCAAAACGCTCTTTGCTCTGTTGCCTTATGTAGGAACAGTGCGTTAGGGACCTGTGCCCAGCTACTCTGCAGTGTGTGGCACTGGTAATGCCCCGCGTCTGTGCACAGCACCTGCTTTGCCACCAGTCAGTCTTACACATTGCTGCTGTCGTTGTTGCTGTAGGAGCATTCGACCTCCAGCCAGACGATGTTCACTTAGTGACTTTCTGCGTCACAGGTAAGAAAATGTTTCCTCGGTTTTCGAAGTACCTTCAGCCACTGAAGTCAAAGCACAGGCGTCTTTCACACGTGGCTTTTTTATCTGTCCTGTGGGAAAGAACGGCACGAGTCCTCCATAACGAGTTGTAGTTGTTAGTTTTATTGCTGGTGGGGTGTGTGGCGATGTCAAACAGACGATACAGCGAGGACTCTCTCCTTACCAAGCGCTTGGAACGCAGCTGATATGATCACAGGTGGTTCTCCTTACCAGGTTATTTTGCCACCTTTGTCCTGTGGAAAGAGGCCGCTTGTCTGTGGGTATCTTCAGGGGCAGCTGAGAAAGAGGTCTGTAAGTGCCTGACCTGCCTCCCTGCAGGTTCCAATGAATTCATAAACTCAGTCAGTTAGTTCATAGAGTGTGATGTCACACAGAGGAAGAAGTAATTTCCTTTTCTTTGTATCACATTCAGGTCATATTTCCATCATCGTTGCATTTCAGCGCTGATGGTGACTCACATCTTTGACACTTGGCATCATGGTAGTTCTGCATTGTGTTTTTTTCCTGTACACTGCCCAAGCAGAAAGTGCAGTGACAGTTGGCTGGAGCTGACCGTGCTCTTAGTAGACACATTATACTCCAGGCCCCAAGCATGTTGTTACTGGCCTGTACCTTCTTTTCCATATTTTTTTGGGCTTCCTTGTTTTTTTTCTGTCTCTATGCAACATCAGATCTGTTCTTCTCTCATTAACACACAACTAAATGAACACTGCTCAGAAAAAATCCAAAGCCCTATGAGTTTGACTTTTTTTTTTCCCTTTACAGAACTAAATGATAGAGAAGAAAAGGATACTCACTTTCCCATCATTTATGGAATAGGTGAGTTAAATTATAATTCAATTATTTTTTTGTAACAGGGTTGCTTTTCAGATTCCAATAGCAAATGGGCTGCTTTTCATGGCTAGGTGAAGCCCATCCTAAAAGGTAAGTGCTGCTGTTGGAGGCGTAGGTAGAAATAAAAGTTTTCTGCTACAGGAGTCAAGTACACACACACGCACACACACGGAAGTGGCTGCATACAAACACAACCAGATTTCTTTCATTTAACCGTACTTAGGATTTTGTCAATATCCAGTTACGGTACTAACCTTTTGGGTTAGAATTCAGCCTTCTTTTCATTGTTCATCCTGTGTTTTTTTCTGATTAGTTTAAGTATCTCTGAAAACATTCTTCTGGAATATTGAAATGCTGCCAAAGCAAAATAAGTAGAAATATCCTATCAGAGGCTATGGGGTCTGTAGTACTGAGAAATAAAGAACGGTATTTGATAGTTTCTAAAGTTCCTGCAACACGGTCATGTTGGGGACATGGTCATTTCAAACAAGCCTTTTGTAAGAATTAATCGTTTCTGTATTTAAACTCTTATTTCTTACCAGCTGTGAATGTTAAAACAGGGGAGATTTTCCCTGCAACCTTCCCAGAAAAAGGGCCGGATGAGGATTTGCGTTCAGCCCATGTTTTAACAGGAGCAACAGTGAGTAAAAATAACAGGGGAAGAAAGGATATTTTTGCTGGAAGGGGAGACCAGTTAGGGGCCCTGAAACATCAAAAGTTTGAGGAAAAAACAATGTGGTAGCGTTCTGTCAGTAACAAAACAACTGAGAGAGATGGAAGAGCAGAGGCGAAGGACAGCAGTGGAGATCAAACCACTTCTGCCGGGGTAAGGCTTGTCTTGGAAGTGCTGCTATGACGAGCCCTGCAGCTTT